AGAGGAGCTAATGAGAAAGAGATGAATAACTAAGAGAGTTCATAAGATCCCTTTAGACACCCCATTCGAGGAAACTTATTACACCCATAGACTATGGATGTTCTTCAGAGAAACCAAGGAGACTGATAAGGACATTGAGATTATTTTCAATTTTCTGCGGAAGAAGAAGAATAATATGGTCCAGCTGAAGAAAATAAGTGATCCTAGGAAGTTTGTGATTCCCTGCAACATAAAGGAACATGATTACCCACATTCCCTCTTCAATACATGTTCTTCAGTCAGCATTATTTCAAGGGCCATGGCAGAGATGCTAAGCTTCAAGGTGGGGCCTTCTAGTGATTCATTCACTTTTGGATTGCTCTAAGGTAAACTCATGATGTATAGTAAAGGATCTCGAAGTGGAAATACGCAATGCCCTAATCCTTGTAGACTTTCATGCCCTAGACGTCAAAGCAGAGAATAGTTCATCACTGCTACATGATTTCAGATGAGCAAAGAAGATGTGGACACTTGTTTTCTAAAAAGTGGTGCTCTATCCCCATCTTAGTCCAAAAGTATTAAGATCACCATTAGTCGATTCCGGTCACCATTAGTCGACGTCATTATCTCACCATTAATCGACACTCGTAACAATGTCTGGTATTTTTTTTACTTTCTTTCATATTTTTACTTATGATTTTATTTTCTCACCTAAGCAAGACATAATAGCGTTGGGACAGTGTTGTTTAAGTCTGAGGGAGGTTTACTGATATTGTTATCTATTTTGATTTTTATTCTTATGGTTTTTATAAGAGTTTTATAGAGCCAAGAAGGGGATAATGATCATATTTAAATTTTTACTTATTAACTAATCACTGTATAGCACCATTCTAAAATTTGTTGACAACATAGTGTACTAGAGATACTAAAGTGGATCATCTTGCCATTAGATCAAACTTGCTTAGAACGTTTGAAGGAACTGAAGCTAACGTCAGACCTTAACGTGACTTATTTGCTTGCTTTGGGGCTTGGTATACATTGGATCGGATTCCTCCTAAAAGTTTGGAAGGTAAAAGTCTGTGTGCCTCTGTTTCTCTTCTCTCTTTCTCTCTCTCTCTTCAGCATATACAAAATAAAAATTTGAAACTATTTCTTGAGATGCAGAGGGGTAGGTACGTTACCGATGACCCCACTATTCTAATTCAAAGGAACGATCACACATGTGGAAGTGAGGAGTAGTTACATTACCGATGACCCCACTATTCACCTACACTTTGTCAAAAGAAAGAAAAAGAAAATGAACATGGTGGAATGTAGCTGCACCATTGAGTCATTGGACTTTTTTAAAAAAAGGTTTAAAGAAGATGGAAAAAAGAGGGAAGCAAGGATTAGAGAAGACTGCTCGTGTGTTCAGAAACTTGCTGGGGTAAGAGTCCAAGTATCCACTGATCCATACTCCTAAGGTAAAGCCTGTACTTTTATTTCATGCAAGAAATGAGGTTAGTAGAGGGGTGAGTCAAGCTAGTATTTGCGAAGTTGCTGGTAGAATGGATTTGGTCCCTAGACTAATGGTGTATATAAGTACCTCTGAAGTTAGCATTCATTTGATCTGACTGCAACATAGTAGGGGTGATAGTAGTAAGTTAAAAAATTTGTGAGTCCCCTCGATTTCAAACCCTCTTTCAGAATAAATATATTATTTGCTTGAGGACAAGCCAAAGGATAAGTCTAGGGTAGTTGATAAGTTCCTATATTTACCACTTTTAGACCATGTTATAGGCCCTATTTTGAGCTTGTTATACGTGTCTAGGATGTATTTTAGAGTCTTTACAGTTCCAGGTTTACTTTGGAGCATTGTGGAGATTAGTAGGCTTCCCAGAGCGTAAAGAGAGGAGAATCCCATAGCTGGCCATATTCAGCATAGTACAAGTCGAGGCAGAGCATGAGAGTCGATCAATGACGCACCCTTGCCAACGATCGACAGTCGACGTGTGAAAACCCAATCCTCAAAGCAACCGACTTAAAGATTTCCCCTGGATAAGTTTTACCTAGTTTATATGTTCTTTACTGGTGTTTATGAAAATGATGGCTTTTTGTACTCTTTCATTATTCTCAGACAAATTTAGTAGTTGAAGGTTTTGGGGAGAATATCAAGATTTCTTCAGAGCTCTGTATTGGAACCCCAGTTTATATTCTTATTCTGTATTTTATGCAATATTTTATAGTTATGATTTTGTGTTGCTTAAATATGTATGAGTAGTCACCTTGTTAGATTTAGGGTTTACTAAAGGTTTTGATGGATTAGCCAAACAATAGAGTTGCTAGGGTGATTATTAGATATATCGTCAATAGGTTGCTTAATGCTTGTGTTCTAGATTAGCTGACTAGAACTATGAATTAGGATATTGAGAATAGTGACACCCTTTATCAATACCTGAATAATCTATTATGAACTTAGAATACTAGAAGCAAAGAATAGTTGATTTAGTGGTTCTAAGTGATTAACCGAATATGTGTGAATTAACGCTCGATTAAGAAAGCCATCGATCGATGTCACATACGGCACCATCGGTAGATGGTCAATCTGTTTAAACATATGATAATTGATACTCGGAGCTTAATCCTAGATAGATATTAATTAGATATCTTTACCAATTGAATTCGTGTTCTATGATTGGAAAATCTCTTAGCATTCTATCCATTATAATTCACTATCTGAAACCCTAGATCAAGTTATTTTTCTTATTTGCTTACAACCAAATATTTTCTTATTTACTGTCTTTGAAATCTGTATAAGCTTCCTAGCATAACCTTATGAAATATCAAGTTTATAGTGTGTCCTCGCTTTCTATGGATTTGATCCCTAAGTACTACATATGAACCTCTTATTTGCGAGAGTAAACAGTAGTTCTAGGATCATTTGAGCACGTATTAGTCACCAATTAGATTTTTCCCATTATGAGGTGGGAATGGTGGCAACCTAGGGTATGGGAACTAATGAAGAAGATCGTTAGAAGATAGAAAAATTTACCACCGAACTACAAGTGTCTAAGAATCGGGTATCAAAACTTGTTCAATAAAAACTGATCAGATGTTCTACTACTTTGGTTCTGGTATTTCGGATCAATTCAGGTATGGGTTTAGGGATGTTAATATTGGGTTTTTACCCATACGGTACCCGAAACCCGGTTAAAATTTGAAATCCAAAAACTGTATGTTTAGATTTTAATTTCCACGGGTTTTTATTGGGCGGGTCTTGTGTTAGTAATTATCCTAACGGGTTTACACTGTCGGGTTTCGGGTACCCTATGGGGTTTTTTTTTTTTTAGAATTCTTGACTTGATAAAGATGTGGAGAAATGAAATTTTTGAGCTCTCCAGCTTAAGTTAGTGAAAGGTGCATCTAGTGGAATCTTTTACCTGTAATCTGAAATGTATATTATGTAGATGAATTAATTAAATAGGACTTTGTTTGCTTTACGTAATTTAATACTCTTAATACTTTTTTCATTGACCAAATATATGTTCTGTGTTTTATAATATGGTCAAGTAGTTTGGTTAATCTCCATGGAGACAGACTCTGTTTTTTTACTCTGTTTTGTTTGACTTCAGGGGAGAAACCTAGTGGGGTGTGTGTTATAATCTCTTTGAGAGAATGAAGTGTTTCTTATTTCCTTTTTGGGATGCACACTCCCGTTTGCATAAATCTAGTTAATGTAGAAAACTATATACGTACGCAAATAGTATTGATTACAGTTGCATACACGGCAGAAGAAAATATACAAGTTCTAAAACCCACAAAACTTTAAAAAAAATAGAGACTAAATTTTTCACGGGTACCCATGGATAACCATAAAGGTTTTGGGTTTTTCGCGATTACCCTAATAATACTGGGTTTTTTCGGGTTTTTAAGTTTATGATATTTTTGGGCGGTTTTTTTTCGGATTCGAGTCGGGCCAGGTAATTTTACCCATCACAACATCCCTGTATGGATTCGAGTATCCGGTAAAATATCAGGTCTGAAGAATCGTCTTATAATGACAAAAACATAGGAAGGTTGTTTCTATTGATAAAGTAAAATATAAAAATCATATATATGTAGTTGTATAGGTTAGATGGTTAGATAACTTAACTTCTTAATATTATTAATATATTTAGTTAATCTAATTAAATAAATACTTCAGTTTTTCAGTTTGGTTAGCTTTAAACTGAACCATACCGTATTATTTGGAGACTTTTAATCAAATGGTTGGGACAAATACTTTAGCTTGGTTTGGGTCTGTTTGAGTTCGGATATATTGGTTTGGCTTTTTGTACACCTCTACTTTTCATTACATGATCATGTACGAATGGTTGGCCGCATAGCTAATAATGAAAAGAGGTGTTGATGTACTGTGGTAACGGTTGAAGAAATCTGAAATCATAATGAACGACTAGCAAAGATTAAAAGTGAAACCAATAAACTATGCTGAACATGGTGCAACCTGCAAATGGATTACAATTCAGAAATATAACTCACATATGGATACAACTCTATCAATATAGACCACTTTTTACTGCATAATTAATGTTTTCGGTTGAATTGGTTTCGTTAGCGTCTTACAAATTTCAAGTAGATCCAAACCGATTTGTTACACCGACTATTAATATTGTTTTTCTGCTAGTATCAGTATCACGTATGTCATCATCTTTTGGCTGGTTCGATTAATTCTGTGTGTTATTAAATATTCACTCTTAGGAGTACCCTTCAATCGTGACTATATCGTTTAGATGTATGTAGCTTATGGACCTCACAGTCACATGGAACTAAAACAATGAAAGTAAAAATCTAAGAAATAAATTATTTCTTTTTAAATGAATAAAAAAATGAAGTTAAAAGTATAATTAAAGGTTTTAAATCAGGAAACTAAATAAAAGGTTAAAATTAAATTAACATGGTTAAAAATTAAATGAATAAGATTAGGAATTAAATAAGGCCAACACTAAATAAATAAGGTTTAAAATTAGATAAATAAGAATAGTAAAAAAAGAAAATATTAAAACCCAAGGTTGGTGGAGAAAAAAACACTGAATTCAGGTTTAAGTTACAAGCCTTGTGTTTTCTTCTTCTCTCTCTAGATCGCAATCTCCATGTCTGGTTAGAGCTTCCTTTCCTCTGTCGTATCTTTACTTCCTACCGAATCTCTTTCTGGGTGAGTCTGAATCTCAAAAACTTTTATGAATAGATAATTTTTGGATTTGTCTGTAAGATTTGAATTAACCTGTTTTGAGTTCGTGGAGTCTTTTCGTATATGCAACTTTATTCCTAGTTTCGATCTGAATGTGCCTTGAAGTTTACCTTGATGAATGTATCTCATAATCTCTCTCTCTCTCTGAGAGAGATTCGGTAGAGACAAGATTAGTCTTTTGTGTGTCCAGTTTGGTCTAATAGCGAACATTCCCCATTAGATTAGAATAGAACCGATAAAGTATAGAAAGTATATATTCTGCTGACACAACATGTTTATCGGTTAATATTTATTTTGACCTTTTGACCTTTGTGCACGCACCGTAACTTGCGAGGATTAATATTTATTATTTATTTTTCTTAAACTGCGACAGAAAACATCCTCTGTTCCTTTGTTCTTGTCCTTGATGGCTTCTAAGGTCGATTCCAGCGTCTCCGATCTCTTCTCATCAGCTCCATCTCTCCAGAGTAACCTCGGGATCTTGTCTCCTGATCAGGTTTGTGTTGTTTTGTTCTGTGTCGGGACTTGTTATTTCCATATGCTGATCTTCTTCTGTTTGCAGATCGAATTGGCCAAGATCCTGTTAGAGAATGGTCAGAGACATCTCTTCATGCACTGGTCTGAGCCAGGCGTCTTTGACAATGAGAAGCTAGGATTCTTCGATCAGGTTTTTGTGTTTCTGTTATTCCTAAATATTTATTAATTAAATTTCCGGAATAAATTCAATTAATATTCTTTTTAAAAATATTGTATTTTAGATTGCTCGATTGAATTCAAGCTATCCAGGGGGATTAGCAGCATACATTAAGACTGCTAAAGAGCTTCTAGCTGATTCAAAGCTAGGGAAGAACCCATATGATGGTTTCTCTCCTTCTGTAAGTGACAGACGAATCCTTTTTTTTTTATGAATACTAACAAGTGTTATTGTTGTGTTTTTGACAAAGATTCTTGTGGTTTTGCAGGTTCCTTCAGGTGAAAATCTTACTTTTGGTGATGACAACTTCATTGAAATGGAGAAAAGAGGTGTCGTCGAAGCTAGGAAAGCTGCTTTTGTTCTTGTTGCTGGTGGGCTTGGTGAGCGTCTTGGTTACAATGGAATCAAGGTAATATATAATGAACCTTGACAGGACATAAGTCAGATTTTAGATTACTGCTTCTACAACTTGTTCATTCAACTTATCGTTCAATCAGTCCATGCTTTTTGAGCTCTAGTATTATATGGAATGATTTCCATCGATATTGCAATGTGCCATAAAAAATTGTGAAACATGAGGAACAAACAGGTGTATTTGACGCTTTGAAATATACCTCTAGACATACTTGATCCACCTGTGAATCAATTTCTTAGGTGGCTCTTCCAAGGGAGACAACTACAGGGACATGCTTTTTGCAGCACTACATTGAATCTATATTGGCTCTCCAAGAAGCTAGCCTCAAGGTCGCTTCCGGTATGTTTCTTTGACAATTTACTAGCACGTTATGCGTATCCATTTTTGACATCTTACAATAAGTGACAAAACTGACTACCTTTTCATTTCTAATCGTACTTGTACATCTCGCAGATGGAAGTCAGACGGATATTCCTTTCATTATCATGACATCTGATGATACACATTCACGTACCCAAGATCTGTTAGAGTTAAACTCTTACTTTGGGATGAAACCTACGCAAGTGCATCTCCTGAAACAGGTAAATGGTCAACTACTAAGATCCTTGAAAAGATTTTCTTAAGACGTAAAATGTCTTGAAAAATAGTGCACAACTATTCCTTTTTTTTTTCCTAGGAAAAAGTTGCATGTCTTGATGACAATGATGCTAGACTTGCGTTGGACTCCAACAACAAATACAAGATCCAGGTAACATATCAATATGTGTTTGCTTTTATAAATCTACCCGAATATTTGCAAGTTAACTCTCGAGTTCTTGTCTGTTTATAGACAAAGCCTCATGGACATGGCGATGTACATTCGCTTCTTTATTCCAGTGGTCTTCTTGATAAATGGTATTTCTTTTATCAAATATTTTCTTCATACGTATGATTTTAAATTTGCTGCCAACAATTTAATTCTATTTTGTATGTTGCAATTTCAGGCTTGATGCTGGTTTAAAATGGGTTTTGTTTTTCCAAGATACAAACGGACTTCTCTTCAATGTTAGTAGCAGCTCCCTAAATCTCGTGTGGTAATTGTTAAGTATTCATACAATTCTGATTGGAAATTTACAATTCCTTTGTACAGGCAATTCCAGCTTCTTTGGGTGTGAGTGCTACCAAGCAATATCATGTCAACTCTCTCGCTGTTCCCCGCAAGGCAAAAGAAGCTATTGGAGGAATTACTAAACTTACCCATGCTGATGGTAACTATACTGAATCTGAAAAATTCAGTCCATACATTTTCTTTTTATAGTTGAGAGTTTGATTCAAATGATTTCCAGGCAGATCTATGGTGATCAATGTGGAGTACAATCAACTTGATCCTCTACTTAGGGCATCTGGATTCCCTGATGGGGATGTTAATTGTGAGACAGGCTATTCCCCTTTTCCTGGAAATATTAATCAAGTGAGTTGCCTTCTACTTCATGAACCTATACTCTGCCTTTGATTAGGAAGATTTCGAGTCTCTTGATGTTTTTGTATATGATTTTTTAATATGCAGTTGATTCTTGAACTTGGTCCATACAAAGAAGAGTTGCAAAAAACTGGAGGGGCCATTAAGGAGTTTGTTAATCCAAAGTAGATCTTCTTCCCCTTTCATCCCTCCTCTGATGCTTCTGTTGTTGTTCCACTGCTTCAAGCTATCATTGTTTTAATTATTAGTAGAACTTTCGATTCTGTGCTTTGACCATCTACTTTCCGGATTGTATAACAGATACAAGGATAGCACCAAAACATCATTCAAATCTTCAACTCGTCTAGAGTGTATGATGCAAGATTATCCAAAGACATTACCACCAACAGCACGTGTTGGATTCACGGTAATTAATATCTGTGGAGTAAAAGAGTACATTGACTATACATATGCTTGTTGTAACAATGTTTCCTCTTGTAGGTGATGGATATATGGCTTGCTTATGCACCCGTTAAGAATAACCCCGAGGATGCTGCTAAGGTTAATGAAGCTCATTTCTTAAACTTTCTTGTGACTAATCAAATTGTTATGCTTAATTTGTCTGCCAAATATGAATAAAGGTACCAAAGGGAAACCCATACCACAGTGCAACTTCTGGAGAAATGGCCATTTATCGTGCTAACAGCCGTATTCTTCAAAAGGTAAATTTAAGTGTAATAGGTTCGATCCAAAATAATCTAAAAAGTCTTCTCCATGATGGTTTATATAGTCTCTAAAGCATCTTATTTCTTTGGTTTTACTAATTCCCTAGGCTGGTGTGAAAGTGGAAGAGCCTGTGAAGCAGGTCTTGAACGGCCAAGAAGTTGAAGTATGGTCTCGTATCACATGGAAACCCAAATGGGGAATGATCTTCTCTGATATCAAAACAAAAGTCAGTGGGAACTGCGACATCTCCCAGAGATCAACGATGGCTATTAGGGGTCGAAATGTGTTTATCGAAAATCTCTCCCTGGATGGTGCCCTTATTGTAGATTCAATTGATGATGCCGAGGTATGGAAAGACTATTTTATCTCTTTAGTTATAGTATCATGTGAACAGACTTATGTATCATGTGAAAAAACAGGTGAAACTTGGAGGCTCAATCAAGAACAGTGGCTGGACCATGGAAACCGTAGACTACAAAGACACATCGGTTCCAGAGGAAATAAGAATCAGAGGTTTTAGATTCAACAAAGTGGAGCAACTCGAAAAGAAGTTCACTCAACCTGGGAAATTTTCTCTGGAGGGTTAAAGTTAGCAAAGTAAGGAAATTCGGAAATCTCGAATGATCTATTTGTTCTTCTGTTGCATCTTTCATTCATCCAACGAGACGCGTGCTTTCTTTACGACATTTACTTAATAGTTCATTTACCAACGATATTCAATATTTGATTCTATGGTCTTATAAAACATACTGGCGATTTTTACTTAATTTTTTTATATATGTATGAATATTATAAGGTAGCTACAAAAGTAGAACAAGAAGCTCAGAGAGCCATTGATAAAAGTGTTATGGGGCAGATAGATGTATGTACAAATGGGCTCAAGACTTGATCTCTATACTCATAAGCTGTATATTAATGGAACATTGAGGAGCTGAGTACTGAGACATGCGTGAAACTTCAACATAAACTACGCCAAAGGTTTTGAGTCAAAAGGGAAAAACTATTCCAATTCTGAGCATCCAGTGAATGTAGACCAGAGGAAGTCATTGTCAGGTTATGCATAGGCAATCTTCTGAGCTGGGATAGAAGCGTGATGGCACAGGTAGCAATGGAATGTTTGATTCCAAAGATCATGGTGCAGATTTTTGAGGTGAAGTTCTCTGATTCTTCACTTGAAGATAGAAGCGTGACATGAACGTAGGGTGGCAAACACTCTAGTGATGCTTAACCAACTAACTGAAAGTCATGTCATATTCTCTAGTACATATGTATTCTGTTTCCCTCGGATCTAAGATCTGATTTGCGGTAGTTTTTTTTTATAAAGAACCAACTGATATTTTTTTTAAAAAAGATAATACATATGATAAAGAATTTGAATACACAAATCCTTTACAAAGATGCAATGTTCAAAGAATCGTATATTCACTAGCAGAAGATTGAGAAATGAAGAACAATCTTCCCACAGAAATGAATATCCAAGACGAGAATTACATTAAGGTAATTCTAGAAAAGATGAAATGAAAATCACAAGATATATTTCGAATGAATGTAAAACAGAGAAAAAACAGAGTATTTATTTTCGTTAGTTGACAGATGTCGTCCACTTCTTGTTGGTCGTTGTTGGTATATCTCCAACAAACTCCAACGACCGAACCACCTTAACTGCAGCTGCTGCCACGTATCAACTTCCTCCTTATTCGATTCATGTAATAACATAGCTTTTAACCAGAGAGAAGGATGAGAACTGCTATACTTTCAAGAACGAGACGTTACTGATGGAGTAGTTACTTGAGCTGAAAAAACTCAAAACCAAGTGGTGAGATAAGTATCCACATTTGGCTGAAGTGATTTTAAGGAAACATGTTTTTTGCTGACGCTATGAAAGCATCGATAATGCGGATCCATGCTCTACGCCATGGACAATCAAAACACAGAAGCAGTAGAATGCCTATCAACGCTGTTGAATAAGTTGAAGCAGTGCTATAATAGAAAACCAACATGTCAACCACACCTTCCTTGTCTTCCTCTTCTCTTCCATTATCTGCATCATCTGAGCTTTCTGTAACATCACAACTTCTATTGGTCGGTGGTCCACAAAGAAGAGGATTGCCTGAGTATCTATTCTCGTTGAAGGTAGTAAATTGCGTTCCTTGGGGAATGATTCCTGATAAATTATTATGAGAGACATCCAACACTACAAGAAATGTAAGGCTGGTTAGTTGTTGAGGAATGCTTCCTTGTAACTTGTTGTAGGAAAGATCAAGGCTCTCAATATCTTCCAGACTGGAGAAGCTGGAAGGTATAGAACTCGACAAGAAATTGTGAGATAGATTCATGGCTCGAACCCTTGTCAGTTTTCCAAGCTCTTTGGGGATAGCACCACTTAATTCATTGTGTGACAGATCCATCCCAAACATATAATCAAGTATTCCATCGCTGAACTCAGATCTTCCTGCGTAAGAATCATACCTTTCCTTTGTTGCAAATTTGAATTCTATCTCCTGGAATGTAACAAAGTTGGCTACCATGAAGTTCTCAACCACAATTGTGGACTTGTAAAATTCCCACTGAAGGTTGGCTACACTGTATCCTCTGTAATTTCTCGTCTTCCCCTCCCCTCCTCGTCCTAATGATAAATTATAGAGACATGAAGGAATGGAGCCATTGAGCTTGTTATTTGAAAGATCTAAAAGCTTGATGTTACTCAAATCACACAGTTCCCTTGGAATATATCCTGTTAAATGATTACCCCTCAACAAAAGAATACTAATATTTTGGGTATTAACAAACTGGGGGATTCTCCCAGAAAGTTTATTATTTGAAAGATCAAGAATCAAGACTCTATCCAGTAATGTTTCCGGAATTGGCCCTGTAAAGTTATTGTCTTGTAGGAACAAATTACGCCCAGTGATACTATCACCAGGTGTCGGTAAGGCTCCAGAGAATAGATTTCCGGAGATGTCTAGATATGCCATGGCCAGCAAAGAAGGTGCTATTGTACCTTCTAATAAATTGTTTGATAGCAATAAGAATTGCAAAGAGGGTCTAGATATCCAACTTGGAATAGCACCCGTGAGAAAGTTGTTGGACATGTCAAGTACAAATAACCCACTGGAGCTAATCAAACCATCTCCAATCTTCCCTGTAAATAAGTTGTTATTAATTATCAACACGGATAGTGAAGTGAAACCTGGTTCTCTTGAAAGAAAATGTCCACTAAGTTTATTATGAGAGAGCTTCAGGTATTTCAGTGAAGTACAACCCATGACAAAGCTTCCAGGTAGCTTCCCAGAGAAGTTATTGTAGGACAGGTCAAGGAAGGAAAGATTCTTCATCTCACCTATAGACAATGAAAATATCCTTGGAAACCATTACTAGAGCCATTCAGATGCACCATATTCGGAAGTGCTCTGCCGATATCATCAGGGAATGACTCAATACCGTTTGTTGAAATATCCAAGACCTGCAAATTATGCACCATTGCCGGCATCTGAAAAAGAGTGAATGAATTATTCTGTAACTGTAAGACTTCAAGTTCTTGATTATTTTCTAACAGCCAAGTAGGAATGTGACCGGATAATCTGTTGTTCGATAGATCAACGAGACCCAAGTTCTTCTGGTACATGAGAAATGAAGGGATTTTCTCCAGGCTGCAAGATCGTAGTACAGCAACACTCAGTTGAAATTTTGGCTGCCAAGTACTCTCTGTCTTGACCTGTACCATATCAGATGATGAAAGTTTGAAAACCTTGAGCCTTGTAAGGTTAGTGAGTGGACGTAGCGTGAATAAGCCTTTGAAGTTGTTATCTGACAAGGATAAATATTCGAGGGACTCAAGGTTGCTGAAACTAGATGGAAGATTTCCAGTAAATTGGTTGGATGAGAGGTCAAGAACCCGCAGGTTGTTCAAGCTACCTAAACAAGAAGGAAGCTGGCCCCAAAAATGGTTTCCTCTGAGATTAAGCTCCCTCAGTTTCCTCATTTGACAAACAACTGCAAAAATATAGTTGGAAAACAAAAAGTAATGAGAAAAATAAGCATAGTTGTTTCCCTCTTAAAAATTCACGAGAACGTAAGTATACATTTCAACAATAAAACTATAATATTACTGTTTTCTTGAAAATCATACTCACACTCTCTATGTTTCAAATATTGTACAACAACAGAATGATCAACACAAACGCATGAACATGACACTGTCATTAGAACCAAGAGTACTCTAAATACAAAACTCTGATATACGTAACATGGAGCTGTTAAATATGTTCAGACTCAGATCCAGCAGTTCCAAGTTTGTCAATCTTTAATTTAGTTCAGAGAAGATATAAAATTGTAGCGATTACTAAAAGATAACCAAAATGAGACCTAACCAAAGATACATTTTCAATAGGTCGGTTGTGCTCAATAGGCACCTTGTTACAAGTGGAAAAATACACACCTTTAGCAGGGCCATATATGTTGTTATTTTGGAGAGAAAGAGTTGTAAGCGATGTAGCAGCATCAAGAAAGGGAAGGATGCTGTTGTTGAACTGATTGAAAGAGAGATCCAGAATCTCCAGGTTTCTCAATCGCCCTAAGCTTTTATAACCTGGAAACCAAAAATATTGTTAACTATCAAAATAATATAGCCAACCTTGCAAGGAATTTCGAAGAAAACGATTGACCGTGGGATGGATTTTGGTGTCTATACATCCAAGTTTAAGTGAACTAGTTTTTAAGAGTATTTACTTTCAAACTTTAGAACAAAAAAGGATATTTCCATCTAGAATTCTAAATTTCCAGTGGACTAAAAAATATTCCAAATAGAAACAGTAGTGGTATACCTTCAATGTTATCAAAGAAACCATTGAATTGGCTGTTATATCTGTCCGAGGATAAGCTCAGATTTCGAATTTCTTCGAAGGGATGGAGCATTGAAAGATTTAGAGGATAGCTCTCTTTGGGGAATAGTCTACCAATCGAAAGTGTGATAACCCGGCTGCTTATTCGACTGCAATCAATGCCCTCCCACTGACAGCAATCACTCTTAGTATCATTAGTCCAAGAAGGGAGAATATTGTTAGAGAACTTTTCTTGACTCCTTGAGATGATGTATTTCTTGAGTTCCAACAAAGCCTTACTTTCTTTTTGAATACAACTTTCGTATCCATGAAGCTGCCCTAGTAGCACCATCACCAATATCAAGTATTGGCCCAGGAAAAGCTTTCCATCCATTGCAATTAAGATATAGATGCAAGTGAAAAAAATCTCCAGAAGCGATTTGGGAATATGAGTTCAATGCAAATATCACCAAGGTTTTCAAATTATTCAATAAGAAGTATTTATCAACACAAACACTTAAAAATCATGTGGCAAGCGTTAAGTGAGGAATCACCATCGTTTACTTTGAATTTTATGACAAGATACAAGTCAAGGTCTTTGTGGGAAGCACACTCAACCTTCGAAAAGTTGTTACCTTACTTTTTGTATTTGCATAATAAAACCTTAACAATCATATTTAATTCCCATTTTTATTCTATCAATATATAAGAGGATTTAAAATTAGCAATACATAAGATATAACTATTCCGGAGATACTATAGAATAAGTCTAATAAATACGTAAGTACTTACGTACATATTAATTTTTGTGATTTATTCATAAGTTTAGCACAACATCATAACCTGACCCATTTATTAATAAACAGTGTCAATTATTTAATAATTATTATAGATGAAATTTTACATAAAATTTGTTCAATTTATGCAAAAGTAACGTACTCCTAATATATATAATTTTACAAAATTTTAACAAATCTATGGAAAAAGATTTAAACAAGATCATAATTTTAAAAAAGTTATATAAATATTATCACTAATTTCGTAATTAATAATGAAATATTATTATACATTAATATATATATTTAGTTACCATTTCTAAAATGAATTTTCTTCTCCAACTTTATTTATTTGATAATCATGATCTTTCATGTTAAAAAAATTATTATACTAAACGAAATATGATAAAATTATATTAGGCTGATAAATTAATATATTATATTTTCATAAATATAAAATATATTTTGGTACAACGCATTAACATTAGTATATAATACATATGTATAAAAATTAAAATATTTTTTAGCTATATATACAATAGTATAATTATTAAAATGAATATTACAAAAGCGATAACTTTATGTGACAATTTGAAACAATTTATTAATTTCAACATGTAAATTTTAAATTATGGTATTTGAAATATTCTTATAAGCATTTAAATATAGGTTCAACGTAAAAAAGTATATATCACTAATATCATAAAATATATATATATATATATATATATAACTGAAAACAATTAAATATTATCTATATTCTTGAAGTTACTTAACACTTTTGAAATTTAAAAACATATCTTGAAGTTACTTAACACTCTTTAAAATTAAATATAAAAATATCTTGAAATTACTTAATACCTTGAAAACACAAGTTGCAAAAAAAAAAATAATAACATATAAGACTTCTCGCAGAAGACTCCTTAAAAAGTCTTCTTGAATTAGCTAGAAACATTTATAGACATACATACTTGTAACTTCATAATTATCATCAATTAAGTTATAAATTTTATTCAGAAATCTCAATATTGACTAATATACATTAAAAGGAATATATTAAAAATTTATCTTAATTTTATAGAAAATGAAAGTAAAAATTGACGTAGAAAACCTTTTATATGGAATTATTCTTATACAAAAAAATATGAGAACATATATAAATAACGCACAATAGTATTATCAATATTTATTTTTTTGGCTAGGTAAATGAATATGAAATTGTTAATAATATTGTGGCAATGATCATTAAAAATGAGATAAGCATGAAAACGAAATTGTGATTCCTTAAGGAAGCCATATTATTTTTCTGTCTTGTGTTAAAATACCGTAGTTGGAACTAAAGTATTTATAAATGAAAGGATATTTATTACAAGGCAGTTTTTTGAGAAACAATTTGAAAATCATATCGGTTACAACAATAGAATATTGTGTAGACATTTATATTTCTGGTAACATATTTAAAAATAATTGTGTATAGCATAATTATCTCAAGTTCTCAACTATTAATTTCTTGATTTATCAAGAAAAGTTGTATTTTACGTTTTTAGTTTGAATTTGAGAAAACATGAGTTTTGTCTTATAGTATTTTTGTAAACAAATTGGGAAATGTAAAAAAAAAACCCAAGTTATTTGAATAATTTTCTAAAATATTATGAAAAAATCAAAATATTTTTACATACATCTTATAAATATATTACATAATTTACATTTCCTGTTAATACATTAAATCAATAGGGTTAGAAGTGAGGTTTTGTTTAAGATTTTGCACTAAAAATTGTGAAAATAAATTTAGTACAAAGACGGATGAGACGCATAATCACCCCTTTTTCGCCTGTTCGTATATTTTCACACTTTGGTCAAGACTGTTGGAAATCTGTTTGGCTCAGACCCTGATCCAGACTGGGACACAACACTGCAGCGTCTCTCACGGGTTCATCTGATTGTCTCACCTTCATTCTGTTGAGACTGGTTCTGCATGTCGCTATTTATTCTATGGTCAGAACGCAATGAATGGAGACATAATGGAGTGGTGAAGTCTGTGGATCAACTTGCTCGGGTGACAGATAAAACTGTGAGAAACATGATCTCCTCTACGAAGTACCTTTTGAAGCCTTAGCTCCAGGGTTTGATGCGGACCAATAGTTTTATTTTCTCATTGATAGATAAAAAAATTATTTGCAGTAGTTTCTTCATACGAACGCATTCTTATGTACTTATGTACATATGATTCTATCTCATGATGATTAATAAATTATATATTTATCAAAAAAAAGATGTATGAGCATAAATGAAAGTGATATATTACGAACTTTTTTTCAGAAACACAAGATCACTTTTATTCATTTTAAATTGTTATAAAATGAAACTAAAGATAAGAAGATGCTATCAAATATTATGGGAAGCCATCCCATTGGAAGCAGTTGGGTTGACCTCCATCACGTCTATCTCTACATGGTGCCGGCTCGTAGATGCTCCAAATACATTCACTGCAAACTCCAACTTTGCTTTTTGGATTATCATCTCTATCAGCTCTAAAAATATCAAATGTCGCTGTATTTCCAGGCCAGGCAAAACTGCAAGTATATACAGTTGTTTTGCGAAGATTAACACGAAATCTGAAATCGAAACTATCTCCAGGACCGAGTGAAATCACTCCCTTATCTTCTTCTTTATTCTTGCAATGCAGAATCAATGTTGCACGCGTCACAAGTTTGTTGATAATCACAACATGTTTTTCTGAGAAGGGCAAAAATCCTGCAGACGTTAATGGTATCGTGGCAATGATCATTAAAAATGAGGTATGCAGGAAAATGAAATTGTAGTTTTTTGAGAAAGCCATATTATTTTCTGTCTTGTGTTAAAATATTATGGTTGGGACTAAATTATTTATAAATGAAAGGATATTTATTATAAGGCATTTTTGGAGAAAATATTTGAGAATCATAGCAGTTACAACAGTAGAGTATGGTGTATTCATTTATATTCTTTGGTAACATATTTACAAATAAATGTGTATAACAGAAATATCTCAACTATTAATTACTTGTTTTGTCAAGAAAATCTGTAGTTTTCGTTTTTAGTTAGAAATTGAGAAAACATGGACTTTTGTAATATAATATATTATAAAAAATGAAAAATGTAAAATGCAAATTATTTGAATATATTCCAAAAATATTAAGGAAAAATCAAAATATTACATAAATTACATTTCTTGTCTACTATTAAAACTGAAGTACAAATTTGAAACACCTTTTATTTTTCTATAATTACACCCTTATGCCATTGGATTTATTTATCATTTACTTGCAATCCTAATCTATCAAAATTAAAATGTCTTAATAAACCAATATTCCACCTACTTATTTATAAGGAACTAATCCGTATATGAAATTTTAATTATGAATTTTTTTTTTCTTTTTTATAGCATAACCCTCATCTAAGCCTTTTAATAAATAAAAATCTAAAATTTTAATTGCAACTAACCAAATAAGTTAAGGTACTAAAACTAAAAGGAATGGTTATTAATCACCTCAAAATATGTATATTCCTTACATTTAGAAATATGTATAATAAATGTGCATAAGTTTATAATAAAAATATCATCGAATACCTATTTATTTATTAATATATTTTTATAATAAAATAAATAACATACAAACAAAAACATAAATGATAATTCACTTTATTGTTATATATATAAACAACTAAAAAGATGACAATTTAACACAATTAATAAAATTGATGCTGACTGTAAAAATATATTAAATATTATAAGCATCAAAATATATACAATCAATTATGTTAGAAAGTTTTTTAAGAATAGTTTTTTTAAACACCCGCACGACGTGCGGGTCAAAATCTAGTTTACATTATACAAGATAAGTGCCTACGAATTCGTGTAGAAATAATATTCGAAAAATTTAAATGCACAATTAAATATGTTCTTCAACATTGAGATTTTTTTTTATGGATCAAATAGCTTGTATTAATCTTAGAAGAGTTTAAGCTCCATGAAAGGAGAATACCACAAAATTACAAAGAGTCCAATGGAATACGGAACAGATAAAACCTAAGATAGAACGGAAATATAACAAGTAAACGGTTTCATAAAATTCTTGAAAGATTGCATCTCGTGTAACCCAGAGAGTCACAAACACTGCACTATCAACATGAAAGAGCATTAGCCGGGAGGAGAATCCTTGCAATATCATCCACACATAGTCATCTAATTCACTCCATACATGAGGAGATATTGGGTCAAAAAACTGCTCCAAAGAGAAGCCAACCAAGAACTCATTACCTACTATAACAATTTCACCAAGCGACAAATCACAATGATTTTATCTTTCAACTGCCACCAAGAAGAGAAACACACAAACGCTTCACCACAAACCAAGTTGAATACAATAATAAGACTGCAAACTTCTGTAAGGAGTTGTAACAACGCAACATAAAACTCACTGAGGGCTTAAAATTTAACCAAAGGACATTGAGTTCATCAATACATCACCAACTAAAGCCAAAAACCACAAATCCAGTGTTGCCCACATATATAGCATAGTATCCCATACAATAGGAGAGGGGTAAAAAAAATGAGTAAAGGGGATGGGGATGGGGA